GAACACACCCACAAATCTACAGGCCCAGCTAATGGTGGCATTGCCTATACTAGCGAAACCTGGAAACCACCCAAGTAGCCATCAACAGGGGGTGAGTTAAATAATGCACGCTCAGCGCACAATGAAATCCGTATTTCTCCACTTGAATTTCAAATAGGCATCTCAAAGGATCCATGTCCAGAGATAACTTATTTCACCGACCCCACCAAACTGCTCCTCTCACACCCTCCCATGGTGGAAACCAGCCTCGCCATCCACATAGCTGCTTCGGCCAAACCCTGCGGTCAGCCTCCATTCCTCTCTCCCCACTGGGTAGGCCTGACACGGTTACCACTTTAGCACGCACCAGCATCTTCACTCTTCCAAATGCTCCAATGGCCTTCTAAATGCACCATCCTGTTTCTACTCTTGCCCCATTATAGTTATTTTTCAAGAGAGTAGCGAAAGTGATGATTTTTAAATGATTTAAAAATTAAATCAAGGTTGCACATCCATACAATGGAAGATTATTCAGCCCTGAAAAGGAATGCAGCACAGACAGATGCTTCAATGTGAATGAACCTCAACTACATTACGCTGAAAGAAGCCAGACACAAAAGGCCACATATTGGATGATTCCATTGATATGAAAGATATGAAATAGGTAAATCCAGGGAGACAGAGCAGATTGGTGGTTGCCAAGAGCTTGGAAAAGGGGAAATGGGGTCCACTTAATAGGCATGGGGTTTTCCTTTGGAAGCGGAGAAAACGTTTTGGAACTAGACAGAGGTGATGGTTGTACAACACTGAATGTACTGCCACTGAACTGTATACTTTAAGATGGTTATTTTGTTACATGAATTTCATCCCAATAAGAAAAAGAAAAATTTTTTAAATTAGATCACAGCACATTCTTTGCTTAAAACCTTCCAATTGCTTCGCAACACAATAAAATAACGTCCAAACTCCTTACCCACAGGCCCTCATGATCGGGGCTCTACTCTGGGACTTTGCATTCTCCCTCACCCACTCCCCACCAACCTCTGTGAGGGAGGTAATATCACCCCCTGTTTTAGAGGGGAGATTGAGCTCAGAGAGATGAACTGGTTTGCCAGGGATCACGTGCAACCTGAGGCTGGCTCTGCCTGGCTCCTAACCAGCTCACAGCTGTCGGCCGTGTGCTGTGTGGCCACCCAGATTCTCCTTCAGGATGGAGCACTCGTTGGCCAGCCGCAGAGTGCTGGTGGCCGACCACTCTCAGCTCTGGAGTGAAAGAACCCCCTCACCCAAGGTCCTGACCCTCCCTGATGACAGTCCCCTGCAATGATGTATAGGTGGGAGTATAAAGGCTTTCCCCCTTACCTCAGGGGATGCCTTCGACGGCCATCCCAGCTCCAGAGCCGTCCGAGGGACAGCTGAAGCCTATTTATAACTGCATCATAGCTCAGTTCCTTCCTCTGCTCAAGCCTGCTCCTTCACTCCCTCACAGGGCTGGTTTCCCAGGGCACCCCAATATACCTCCTGCCTACTAGGCTCCACCTTAAAGTCATTTCCTGGGACCCCAGCCTAAGACATCTGCTCTGCCTCGAGGGCCCGGCTGGAGGGCCCAGACTTTATCCTACAGGCCCTGGGGCGCTACCGCTAAAGCATGCAAGTGACAGGTTAGATTTGCATTGTGGAAAGATTCCACTGGAGGGCAAACTGGAATAGGGGGGCGGGAGGGGGCGCGCTGTAGGCCAGTGAGGAGGATGTGAGAGGGACTGGGCCTGAATGCAGTGATGGCAAGGAGGCCGATTCCGGCAATGGCCACTGGGTGGAATAAATGGACCGTAATTCTAGACTGGCTGGTGAGTCCTGCGCCTGGCCGGGGGTGACTCAGGGGATGCCGGTGCACCGGGCTGTCTTCCATCTGGAAGTCACTCATCAGCTCTGGGACAGCCTGTTGGGGTGCCAGCCCTGGCTCTACCTGACACTAGCCGTGTGGCCTGGACATGATACCTTGGTGTCTCACTCTGTCCATTAGAGAAAACTGGGCTAATACCAGGCCCTCCTTATGGAGTGGCCATGAAGAGTCAAAGAGTTAACACATGTTCAAAAAGCTTGGCCAAGGGCCTGGCTGGTGTGCTCGCTGCAGGCTTCCCGAGTACCTGCTGGGTGTCTGTAAAGGGCACATGCCTTGGATCAGAACCACCTGGGTGCCCTGTGTATGTGTGTGTGTGTGTGGTGTGGGTGGAGGGGCGAGTCCTTTCACTGCTGCGTCCCAGAGCTCACACTGGTAGGAGGGCAGTGATCCTCTGGGCCATGAGGGATTGTTAGGAGGAGGTAACACTTTAAAAGCTCCTGGCAAGTGGTATGAAGTCAACAAATGCAGCTGCTGCTGCTGTGAGGTTGGTGAGAGCATCTGCGCAAAGCTCAGCGCACTCGGCCATCCCACGGCAGACAGCTGAGCCTGGGCAAGACCAAACCCCGCCTGTCTTTTGCGCTGCCAGCCTGCTCCTCCTCCAGTGTTCTCTCCCTAAATGTCATTGCCATCGCCCAGCTGCCCGAGCCAGAAACGGGAGGAATGCCCACGTCTTCTCGCCTATATCCCCCAGCCTGCACTCGAGCCTCCCCTGGTCTCCATCTCTGCGGCCCCCTCCCCGCTGGTCATCCTGCCCCCCTCCTGCTGCCCCCCACCCCACTGATTCTGTTTTCTCACTTAAGCCAGTTCAAACCCTGGGGGGCACATCCTGTGGACCTCCTTCTGAGAACCAAACTCTTTAACCCACTCAGAAAGAGCCAGGCCAGGCCTGGCCACTATATCCCCAGGGTATAGTTCAAGGCCTGGTATACAGTAGACACTCAATAAATGCTAGGTGGCTGGAGAATGGACAAATGCATGAATATATGTATGTGCTGGCTGTGCCAATAGAAATAACATTAACAATAATATGAATAGGGCACCTGTACACAGTACCCACCACCTGCCAGTCCTGTTCTAAGGCCCTACCTGGATTAACTCGTTTCATGTGAATGACAGCCCTGTGTGCTAACACCTGTGGTTTTCCCAATTTTAGTTGAAGAAATGATGTTACAGGGAGGTTAAGTAACTTACCCAAGGTCACACAGCTACTATGCAGCAACGCCAAAATTCAAATGGGACTAAAGACCACAACTGCAGCAACTGATCTGTGCTATGCTCTCCCAGGTACCATCGCACCAAATTCTCCCACAATGCTGTGGGGCAGGCCAACGCACAGCTGGTTAAGACTCTGCCCAAGGTCATGCAGCTGTCAACAGGACTATCCCACTATTTCTTTGTTGAAGAATGAACTGGTGTCCAGTTTAGTGACTTCAGTTGGGGGGCAACTGCCCTGGAGTCTACTTATTTCTGGGGGCCTTGACTGACCTGTGGAAGTGGAGGTCATGCGGAAACTGGACAGTGGGGTGGATGCTAGGCACCAGCTGTTGCACTCCTCGCCTCCTGTCTCCTCAGGTTCTGGCTGCAGGGCCTTTAAACCACCTGGGGCAGAAGCTTTCAACCTGGCAGCCTATGGAACTGTGCCTCGGGCCTGCCTGTGGGGTGGGGTTGGAGAGACCCAGGACCCCGGGGATACCCCACCTCCGCCTCCACCAGAGCAGCTCTGCTTTGTCCAGGGTTCTGAGGGCGCTTTCAATTGGAAAAAAGGTTCTGCAGTCAAAACAACTTTTGAAATCTGTGTCCTATGGGATAAATGTCCTTGTCAAGCAAAGTGGCCTTCTCAAGTCTACCCTGGTGACATTCAGGGGCTTTGATGCAGTGAATTCTGGGATGGAAAAGGCAGGAGAGTGAGAATCTCCAGTGCCCTTAGCCAAGTCCAATGTCAAGGCTGCCCTGACCGTTCACGGCCATAGGTCCTTGCTCTGCACACCTGCCTGGGTGTGCCCCAAGTTGGGGCCTGTTTGTCTCCCATGGCACAGTCCTGCCTCTGGGCATTTGCCCACAGCTTCTAGTGCCTGGAATAAAAAGAGGAACTATGTACGGGCACTCCTCTCTGACAAGCAATGTGTGCGGTGCTGTCCATTTCCTGTAGCTCTCACTGCAAACCTGTCAGATATCATTATCCCCATCCCAGGGAGGAGAAATTGAGGTTCAGAGAAATGACACACTGAACACTCAAACCCAGGTTGGCCTAACTCCAAAATATTCTTTCCAGTGCACCCTCACCTATGACCTCTAGGGCCCTGCCTCTCCCTCCTACCTTCATCCAAATCCTGCCCACACTCAGGACCCGCTGGCACTTCCAGTGCGCCCCACTCTCTTATCCCCCACCTTTGCAAATGCCATTTCCTAAGCTCCGAAAACAATGCCCTCCTCCCTTACCCCCTTCATCTTTCTGACTCCACACCCTTTGAGTATCCACTTGGGTGTCACCTCTTCCAGGAAGCCTTCCTTGGATGCCTGGCTAGGTAAGAATCCTCCTCTAAGACTGAACTTCCCCCATCATAGCCCCAAGGGTTCTGTCTTGCGGTCATTTGCTTTTCTGCATTCTAAGGAGACACTAAACTCTTGGGGGCAGGATCAAGGTCCACTGTGCTCACCTGTGCTGCCAGCATGGTACAAAGACATAGTAGGTGCTCAACAAACACTGATGGAGCGGACTTGATGTCTGCAATGTGCCAGACCTCCTAGCAGGTGCTGAGCATAGCGTATAAGTGAGGCACAGTCCCTGCTCTCCTGGCCCAAGCCCTGCCTTTCTCTCAACCTACTTGTGCTCTGCCTGCTTCCCACTCCACATCCCTTTCATTCGCTCAAACCTTTGAGCACCAGCTAAGCCCTGGTGGCACAGGGGAGCATTTGGCAAATGTCTGGGACATAGGAGGTGACCCACTAGCCAGGCACAGGTGCACGGTATACCATGGGTGTAAGGAGCCTCCAGGGACTCATTCCTCTTCTGCTATGTGCCAGGCTGGTTCTGAGACTCCCCTCGCTGCCCCCTGCCACCTGCCGTTGCCCCACAGGCTGTGACCCCTTCCCTAGCCCTGGCCCAGAGCAGCCATACCCGGTTGATGAGCTCGCCGACCATGCCCGTCCAGGAGCCGTTGGGCTCGGGTGCCCCGTACAGCCCGTCCTCCACCAGCCGCAGGCGGTAGCGGAAGCGCAGCAGCTCAGCCAGCTCCCGCAGCATGTCCACGCAGAAGCCCTCAAAGCGCTCATTTCCCGACAGGCCCTGGAAGTTGGGCCGGCGCATGACGTATGGGTTTTCCTGGAGAGGCAAGGGAGAAGGGGGGTCAGAGTCCGGCGTCTGGGGGCTGGGTCAGGATCCTGGAGCTCAGGCTGGGCAGCTAGATCCAGAATCCACTGAGTGGGAAAAAGGCCTGAAAGCCAGGAGCAAAAACACATGGACCCTACCAGCCCCCAGATCACAGGTGCTATTTTAATCTCCACCAGACAACCTGGCGTTCATTTGTCTCAATCTCAAATGCCTATGAGGGAGGCAGGCAACCTAAGAGTGAATCAGACTGGATGGAGGTCATGCTGAGCTGGAACAAGGTCTTTCAAATTTCTGACTATGACCCACAGTGAGATTCCTTTTACTTTGTAACCCAAACCACACACATATATGCGCATGTACTCACATGCCATAACGAGACTTGGTTCCACAAAACAGGCTTGTGCGGATGGCAATACACCCTGGTATGTTCCGCTCTGCTCCACATTTATTTTCCCCACAACCTGTAGTGAGCCACTGAAAACTGACTTCATGAGCCAGCAATGGACCGAGTAGGGTCCCCACCAGGATTCAGCTCCAGCCCAATGCCACCAGGAGGGAGATGGGCGTGAGATGTCAGATGGCCCATGTTGAGAGAATTTGGAAACCCAAGTGGTTCTGTAAGATCTCCTAATTATACAGGTTAGTCACAATTCAAATTCTATTAACATTTTTTAAATGCTGTGCAGGCTAAACAAACACCTGACAGTTTGCAATCTCTGGCTTAGAGCTGGTTCTTATGATGATGCTTATTTCTGAGGGATTTGAGCAAATTTTACTGACTCCCATCATGCCAAGTAAGTGCGAAAGCTGAGAGAATACTCCAAGTGCTGGTGGGACGAGGCCTCCGAAGATGCCCGCAACAAAAGGGACACTTACCTTGACATAGTCATTTTCTAAGTGGCTGTTTGTGTGGTATCTCTGTGGACTTAGGAACAAAAGGAGTCAGAGCTTGGAAAAGAGCCAGGAGAGCTCTGGCAATAACAGTCAAGACAGTGAGCATGTGCTGAGCGCCTGCGGAATACAGCCCCTGTGCTGCCTGTGTTCTCAGGATTCTTTCCCTTTGATTCCTCAGTGACCTTTCATGGGAGGGGTTATTACACTTATTTCACACATGGGGAAACTGAGGCTCACAGAGGCTCACAATGTCACCTCTGTTATTCAACACATCATTACTGAGCTCTCAGGCAGACGTGGCTGCAATATTTTGCAGTTCTTCCCAGAGGTGGAGCCGATTTCCCCACCCCTTGGCTCTGAGCTGGCCTCAAGATTAGCTTTGGCCAACAAAATGCGTGCAAGTGATGCTGTGTGAATTCCAGAGCTGGGGCCTTCAGAGCAGCCTTCTGGGACCACTGTGTAAGGAAGCCCAGGCCCGTCTGCTGAAGGATGAGTGAACCGAGGCGCTGGCCAGCAGCCAGCACCCACAGCCTCTCGACCTCCCAGCCCAGCCTAACCACTGTGGGCACAGCAGGCAAGGGAGGGCGGCAGAACTGCTCTGTCAACCACAGAATTGTGAGAAATAATGATTATTATAGTTGCGAGCCTCTGGGTCTTGAGGTGGTTACACAGGTAGGTACAGTGAGGCCAGATCCTGTTATAAGCTCTGGATTCCAGGACTCCACAAAGCCCTTCAGCTGAGGGGCGACGACATGCAGGGAAGTTAGTGCTTTTTTCCTCTCGACCAAGCTGCCTTTTCAAATCCAAAACTGTGGAACTGGGGGTAGGAATGTGAGATGCTACTAATAATAGCGGCGCAGCTAGTGTTTCCTGTGGGCTCGCTGTGACAGCTATTCTGTCAGCGTGGGAGGTCGGTATTATTACCTCTGCTTTAGAGATGAGGACACCGAGGTCCCGAGAAGTGAAGGAGTACGCGGCTGAGATGGACAGTCAGTCTGACTCCGAAGCTCTGCTCTGAAGCCCTGTGCTAGACTGAACTCAAGTGGAAGAACCCGAGAGCAACATGGGAGACCCCAGACATAGAGCTGGGGACCCAGGTCAGATATCAAAGCTGGAGAATAAAAAATCAAGAGTTATCTAGATAAGCACCCACTGTTAGCTGGAAGGCTCTACTATAACCCTCTTGACATGCAAAGGAGGAAACAAGCTCAGGGAGGTCAAGTGTCTTGCCCAAGGCCACACAGCGGAAGCAGGACAGTGGGAAGGGGAGACTGGGAAGATCTGGGATTCAAAACCCAGTTGCTGTGGGGTCCAATCCCCTTGTTCTTCCAGCAGGCCAAGCTGATCTCAGATTCAAGATTGAGGCACTTGGGTTGTGGATTTGAGGCCTCAGGACCAGGGTCTGGGGTTATAGGGCCAGAAAGAGGGCCTGTGCCTGTGAACAGAACTCAGGATCAGAAAACAATGCTGTAGGACTCAACCTAGAGCCCCAGACTGTCAGAACCGAGGCTCTTAAAGGAGCCTCTAATCCGAGGTTTTCAGGCTTCTTCAGGGACCTTCTGTGGAAGCACTGCAGACAGACAGTGGGCTGTTGCTAAGTCTGGGTTAAGAATTCATCCTACAAATGTCTGTGCACCTGTACACAAAAATGCAGGTCCTGGAGTCATGGCAGCATTGCTTGTAGTGGGAACAAAGACTGGAGCAACCTAATTTGGGACAGGTTTAAAAGACTATTGACGTCATCAAAGTATCCCAGGCAACTACTAAAATAACAAGTTCTCTCAGATCTATTAAGAGGAGAAAAACAAGCTACAGAATGTGTACAATATGCTACTCTTTGTGAAGGAAAGAGTGGGGATGTGCTTGTATATGCAGACCTTTTGGAAGGATGTGGACTATGGGGAACTGAAGAGAAAAGGAGACTGATTTTTTACTCCTTATCCCCTCTTTGAATTCCATTTAATTTAGGTTTATATTACCGTCTGTTCCTCCCCCAGTTTAGAAGTTTGAATAGTAACTAGTAAAATATTTAAATTTTTTGAAGTATGACATTTAAATATAGGTGGAAATGCAAAGGGTCAAGAACCAAAGCAATTCTAAAGAACATGAAAGCCGGAGGACTAATCCATCAGATATTAATACTTAACTTAAAGATATGGTATTAAGACAACGTGGCATGACAGCAAAGCTGGTCAAATGGATAGAGAACAGAATGTGGGAAACCCACACATGAGTGGATACTCAGTTATGACAAAGGTAAGACTGTGGTGAAGGGGTAAAGAATGACCATTTTGCCCTAGTTGGTTTGGCTCAGTGTATAGAACATCGGCCTGTGGAATGAAGGGTCCCAGGTTCGATTCCAGTCAAGGACACATGCCTGGTTGTGGGCTCGATCCCCAGTAGGGGTGGTGCAGGAGGCAGCCGATCAATGATTCTCTATCATCATTGATGTTTCTATCTCCCTCTCCCTCTCCCTTCCTCTCTAAAATCAATAAAAATATATTTTAAAAAAAAGAATGACCATTTTAATAAATGGTGCTGTTCAACCAAGTATATTCATATGGAAAAAAATGTATTCTGATCTCCTACCTCACATGATACATAAAAATCAATTCCAGGTAGATTGTAGATACAAATATAAAAGGAAAATTTGTTAATTTTAGAAAACAAATAGACTTTATGACCTTGGTCCAGAGAATTATTAAATTCAAAAAGAATTAACCATAAAGAAAAAAAAACACGATAAAGTGAACTTTAGTAAAATTAAAAATATTTTCATTGCCCTGGCCAGTGTGGCTCAGTGGGTTGGGTATCATCCCATGCACCAGGAGGTTGCCAATTCGATTCCCGGTCAGGGCACATGCCTGGGTTGTGGCTCGATTCTGGGTGGGAAGCACACAGGAGGCAGCCGATCGATGTTGTTTCTCTCTCTCTCTCCCTCTCTCTAAAAATCAATAAACTATTTTTTTAAAGATAAAATTTCATCAAAATATATCATTGGGGGGCCTGGCCAGTATGACTCAGGTTATGGTGTTGTCTCATACACTGAAAGGTTGTGGGTTCGATCCTTGATCGGTATGTACATGGGAGGCAACCGATCAAGGTTTCTCTCTCACATGGAGGTTTCTCTCTCTCCCCCTCTCCTTTCCTCTCTCTCTAAAATCAACTTAAAAAACATATTCTCAGGTGAGGATTGAAAAATATATCATGGAGGGGGTGGGGGGGAACATACAAGTGAGAGGGCAAAGCAAGCCACAAAGTGAGAGAAGACATCTGTAATACATATTTCTACAAAGGACAGTATCCTTTATTGAAGGAATATATAAATAACTCACAAATCAATAAAAAGGTCATATATCCCAATTTTTAAAAAATAGTAAAAGACTTGAGCAGAGACTTCCCAAAAGATTTCCAAATAGCTAACAAACAGAAAAAGGTGGTCAGCCTCCCTGATCATTAGGGAAATGCAGGTGAAAACCAGAGTGTAATTAAGTCCTGTATATGCTCATCACTGGGGAAAATGAGGAGTAACTGAAATGCTCATTCTCACACTACTGGTGCAAGTGCAAAGAGGCACTGCCACTATGGACAACACTTCGGCAGTATCTCCTAAAGCTGAGAAGACCCAGCAATTCCACTCCTGGGTGAACACTGGATGGAAACGCTGTGTTCACCAGAAGGCATGTAGTAGATGTTCATAGCAGGACTTTTCATAATAGAAAAACACTAGAAACAACTCCTAAGTAAACTGTGTTACGTTCATAGAACAGAACATGTAACGATGAAACTAAACTACTCCCAACATGGATGAATCTCACAAACACATCAACAGAGGAAGCCAGACAAAAGAGGGAACATAGGGTATGAAGCTATTTACATGAAGTTCAAAGGTGGAAAAGCTAATCTGTGGTGATGGAAGTTGAGATGGTAGTTACTTTGGAGGGTCAGAGACCAGAAGGGACATGAGGAGGGCTCGGGTGGGAAGGCTGGTTCCACAGGTGTATTCAGTTTTTGGAAATTTAGCGAGCAGTACATTTAGGATTTGTGCACGTTTCTGTGTGCATGTTACACTTCCATAAAAATCTCTTAAAACTAAGAACAAAAAAAATTAAGTAGGGTGAGTTCTAGAACATTCCTCGAAAGCTGCATGCCTTCCGTGAACCCAGGACCCAAATCCATATCCAGGACTTCCTGGAGTGCTGTTTAAACAACCCTGATCTAGTCCAGCCCCTTCACTCTATGAACATTTCAATTCCCCCACTTTAAAGGAGTGAACTGAGGATGGAGAGAAGACACCCACCGGGTTTTGTAGCATGCGAATGGTAGAGCCAGGCCTAGAACACAGTCCTCTGGGCTCAGAAAAGAGCAAAAATTGAGGCAAATCAAGGCAGTGTAGTGCAATGGAGAGGTATGTGGGCTCTGCCACCTTCTAGCTGGGTGACTGGGGCGGTCACTTAACCCTCATCTGAAAATCAGGGGCCATAAGGGTACCCAACTCAGACCTGCCATGAAGATTAAGTGCTCAAAGACATCAGCCAAGATGACTGATGTTTTTATCAAGGATGCCAGATCACAAGAGAAAAGGGGAAAGAACTCGTGTGTGCTTACCACGATCATGCTGGGCGCCACCAAGGGTGCCTTCTGATCTCATGCAATCCCCCCACAACCCTTCAAAATGAGATTAATAGACCCATTTTACAAATGAAAGTATGGACAACCTGAGTGGTAGGCAGTGAAGACAGGAATGCCTGACCCAGAGGCACCAAAGAGCAGGATTCGACATCACAGCTGCTTGATGAAGGGAATCATGGGGACCAAGTGAGGGCTCTCCAGGAGCAGGGCCTGAGGAAAGGCCCCTGCACAGCCTCACCTCCTGGGGCCTCCTCTTACACCCTCACCTTCCTGTGGGCCTCTCTCAACTTGGCACCAGCCAGCCCTCTCTCAGCTCCAGACTTGTGAGCCCCACCCCAGGGACACTCCCACCCTGTTGAGAAACTTCTCCTGTTCCCTCCCTTGGCCCAGCCCTTGGGCATCACAGGCACCACACCCTATCTTCACTGCTTCTCAACATCCCACATCAGATCCCCCTCCCTGCCGATAGCCCAGCCCAGCTCAGGCCTTGTACTCCCCCACCTGGAGCACCTCCCTCTCCTTCAGCCTCCCTTATGCACCCAGGAGCTATTCTGACATTCCAATCTGGCCCCGCCCCTTTCACTCAACACCTTCAAGGTACAGGGTAAGTATAAATGAGTCCTTCAGAGACCCTCCCACCTCTGTTGCAGCACTCACCACCCCTCCATGCTTACTAGGTGCCAGGCACCACTCTAGGCCCTGGGGACAGAGCCGGGTGTAAGACAAGTCCTGACTACATCTTGCCCATGCGTCCACACTGACTCAAGTCTGAATCCCCAAGTATCTGACAAAGGCCCTTGTCCAGAAACACAAGTCAGAAAATGTTAGTGAATCAGCAGGCACATCTGGCTGCGCACACGGAGCCAGCTACCTCCACGTCCAATCTGACAAACGCTTCCTGAGGCCCCTGCTTCTGTGGCTCCTGCTGCCCAGATGCCCACCCCTGCCTCCTCTGTGCACCCAACTCCTATGCAGCTTCTAAAGCCCAGTCTAATGCCACCTCCTCTGTGAAGCCTTCCTCGGGCCTTCCACAGCTGAGTCAGTCCCTCCTTTCTGTTGACAATGACTGTGTCGATGCCTGTCTCCTCCATTGAACTGGGATCCCCTCCCCTCAAAAGTAAGGAAACCATGAGGCCACGTGTGACTCATTCCTATACCTCCAGAACTTGTGTAAAGCCTGACACACAGCAGCTTCAGAAAATATTTGTGGAATGAATGAATCCATCAAGAGAATGAGTATCAGGAAGAGAACACTGGCTTATGGGCCTTGGGGAGAAGAGATAAGTATGAGAAGAAGCTTGAAGTCCCTAGGTCAGGGCTGGGGAACGTCTGGCCCTAGGGACTCACAAGGCCTGCGAAATCATTTGGTCTGGTCCTGTCAGGCATTAGGGGAGAGTTAATGAAATGTTTGACCAAGTGTAGCAGGCTAATTTTTAAATTGATCATTTGTATGGCCCTTAAATGATGTTATAAATATCCAAATGGCCCTGGGCAGAAAAAAGGTTCCTCACCCCTGCCCTAGGATCATGGCTCTGCTCTCTTGACACCCCCTCCCTGAAGGACCCTGCTCCCCACCAAGGACCCTATCTCTTCAGGCCCCAGGAAGACCCTGGAACTGGCAACACTCCCACAAGCACAGAGGTCTGACTTCTGCCAGCCAGCCTGCCTGGCCCACAGGGCTCTCAGTGAGGCTGTTACGAAGTGTCTGGTTTCCTGTCTGCAGGCCATCTGTCCCTCCCCAGCAGGATCACTGGCCCTTCTCCAGAGGGACTCGAAATCCACTTTTAGATCAGAAGTTCCCTAGGGACTGAGGGAATGGCCCGTTGACACTGCTTTAGGGGGCCTCTGACATCCTGTGGAGCCTGTGGTAATGCTTTCAACCTCAGCATCCATAGCACTAGCCAGCTCAGCTCACAGAGGCACTGAGGGTCCCCCAAGACGTGGATGCCAGTGGGCCACGGACTTGGCTGCTGCAAAGAGCATGGCTGCGGCATGCCCAGCCTCTAAGCCCAGCTGCTCCGGACAGCTTCCTGCTCACCAGATCCTGTGTGTCACCCCTCCCTGACCTCCTAGAGGCCACTGTGCCCGGCGGGTGGCAGGGCTGCAGGGGAGAGGGCATGGCCTCGAAGACTAACACTCAGCTCCAGCAGGGACTTGCTGTGGGACCTGTTTCCTTACCTTCAAAAGAAGGAAAATAAGACAAACCTTATGGAGTAGCTGAGAGGTTTAAAGAGTGACACCTGGAAAGGGCCTAGCACAGTGCCCGTGCAGAACAGTGCTCAGTGAATATTCCTGACCACAAGGCCTGGCTCTGGTCTGGCAAATGCAGGAGCAGCACCAGTGGGCTGCAGGACAATGAGGGGACGAGAGGACTGGAGATTCAGAGCACAGGCTCTGGGGCCTCAGACACTCACTTCCATCCTGACTACGCCACTTACTTGCTGTGAGACCCTAGGCAAGTCGCTTCACCTTTCTGAGCCTCGGTTTCCACATCTTCAAGATGGACATTAAATAAGTTAACATGTGTGTCAATACACTTGGCAAGTGTGACAAAATGGCCACTCCTGACCGTGACTGACGGGGCCTTCCATGGGCCAGACACTGTGCGGTGCCCTGCCTGCGTGGCCGCGTGGAATGCTCATGGCGCTCTCCTGTGAGCCAGGCCTTCCTCTCCGCTGTGCAACGAACAGCAGGCTGGCAGAGCCTGGGCTGGGCCGGCTGTGAGGGCAGAGTCTGTGCCTCCCCTGCCCTGGCAGCGATTAGGATGGTAACACCGTGGCCCAGTCCGGGGTTGTTGGGTGCATGAGTCACAGCCCCATTGCGCTGTGCGCTTTGCCAGCTGAGACATCCCTCCTCCTGACCAGGACTGGGCTGGGCACCGCTCAGGAAAGGCCCCTTCGTTTATTGCCGCCCCACAAGGGCTACTCACCAAAATGGTCGTGACCACCAGCGTCTTGTTGGTCAGCGTCTGCGACAGGTTGATGTCCAGGGTGGTGGCGTTCATGGCCAGGGTCCGGTTAGAGTACCACACCCCGATCTGGGGAGGAGAGGGGTATGGTACTCTAACCGATGGGGTCCCACCCCGTCCTCCCTCCTTTCCACCTCCACCCCACCCCACCCAGTCAGGGTTCTGGCTTCACCCTGGGCCTGCTCACCTCACGGTGGCCCTGCCGGGACTTCTCTAGGATGCGCAGGGTGTAGTTGGTCCTTTGACCTTTGCTGTTGAATTCGACCCGCCCGGTCAGCCCGTCATACTCTACCTAGCAGGGTGGGAGGTGGCCAGAGGGAGGGGTGGCAGGAGCCCAGAGAGATGGGTGGGAGAGGCCCAGAGGGAAAGAGACAGAGGTGGAGGGGACAAGAGAGAGGGATAGGGACCAGGAAGGACCACAATTAAACAAGCAAGACCACACACCAGCAAACGCGGGGTGATGGAACAAAGACACAGGACGCAGCAGTACCGGCGGGCAGAGGAAAGCCAGGAAAGGAGGGACAGAGGGAAGAGCAAGGAAGAGGCGCAGAGGGAGCAAGAGGCGTTGGAGGTGGGGGAGAGGGCAAAGGGCCAAAAGGTGGACACAGTGAGTCCCCCACTGGAGGCAGGCTGATTGCCCTCAACCCTCCCACTCCCAGCTCACCATGCGCAGGTAGTTCATGAGGCTGGTCCCGTGGGGCCAAATGTTGGCCGACGTACAGGCCAGTGGCTTCACACCGATCTCCTGGCTGCGGTTCAGCTCCCGGACGGCACTCACCACCACATGCACGGCATCAAACATCAGGGCAGCCGACAGCTGAGTGGGGGCAGAGGTAGGGCAGGACAGGGAAGAGGCAGCTTAGCCAGGGGAGTCCCCGAGCCCCCTGGTGCTACCCCCAGCCCTCAGACAACTCTCTGGTGTCTTTCTCGGGGAATGCATGTGACAGGGAAAGGTGTGCATGCTGCCAAGCCTCTATGGCAGCATCTCTTCCTGAATGCGTGTGACCATGTGTCTGTTCAGGGGAGGGCATGTCTGAGTGTGCCTGGACAGCCAGTTGTGTCACCCCCAAAGGGGGTGTTCATGGGCCTGAGGTGAGGGTGTGCCTGGGAATCTGCATGTCTGTGCGGCTGATGCAGGCTGTAGACAATGGCCACAGCCCCTCTCTCAGTGTGCCTAGGAATGTTTATGTGGGTGGGGCTGGGCAAATGTTCCTATTTGTTTATACACAGGGCAGGGCGGGGTGTCTAGAAGGCAGGAGCATATAATGGCTATGAGCCTGGGCCTGGGAGACAGGCATGTCTGAGCTGAAGGCCCAGTTCTGCTATTCCCTGTAGTGGGCCAAGTCCCCACTACCCTCTGAACCTCAGTTTCCTCCCCTGTATAGTGGGGATAATTGCCATCTCTGCCTCTGAGTACTAGGGTGGGGATCAAGCAAGGTAATGCAGCAAAGAACTCCAAACAGCGCCTGGCACATGGTGCGGGCTCCATACAAGCTGCCACTGAGCTGTGATTGATGGCACAGGGCGTCTGTGAGTGTGTCTGCGAGAGTACGTCTTAGCTGGGTGGATGTGCAGGTGTGAATCTCATGCTATGCAGGTAGGCGCAGGGGTGCGAATGAATGTGCCTCTGTCTATGTCCATGTGTGCACATCCGACTGCATGGCTCGGTATCCGTGAGTTTCTGTGCATGTAGGACTGTCTCAGTATCTTGGTATATGACTAGATGTCTGTGAGCAAACACACATAAATATGCATCTTTTGTATGTTTGCATTTATTCAGCATATATTATCAGAAACCTACTCTGAGCCAGGCTGTCTTAGGTGCTGGTATATAATGGTGAACAGAGAGAAAGCCCTGCCCTCAAGGAACTTAAAATCATGTATGTGTATCGATATCTAAGCAAAATATAGAGCAAGCCACATGGTAATTAGATAAGCAAAGACAGGTGCTATGGAGGAAAATACAGCAGGGAAGGGGGCTATATCGTGGGGAGTTTCCCATATTTTAAATGGGACCAAGGAAGGTCTCACAACTAAGGGGACATTTGAGCAATGACTTGGTGATGAGGAAGCGATGCACAGGCCCTGAGGTGCGCATGTGCTGGGGCGGCAGAGGCACCTGGAGACCAGTGTGGCTGCTGCACCATGGGAGGTGGAGAGGAGGACAGGTCAGACTTATCTCAGAGTGAGGCTGCATGGCAGGTATTCGGGAAGTGAGTGGGAGCACCAGAGGCTCTGAGCACCAACTGGCAGAGATGTGAAGGGGCCCAGAGTATCTGTGTGCAGAGTGTCTGTGTGCGGGGGCGAGGGGGCGTGCTCACCGCAGGGCCCGGGTAGGTGCTGGCTTCGCAGTTCTCTCTCCAGGACATGTTGAGGCTGCGCACAAACTCGGGGTAGAAGGGGTGCGAGGTGTTGAACATGGAGAAGCCCAGGATGTTGGAGGAGTCCTCCACGATCCCGTCCAGGTGCAGGATGGGGAAGTCCTGGGACGAGAAGAAGGGTGAGGCCCGGGGCCAGGCACCACTGGTGCAGATATCATGGGAGGGGATGGGGTCACAGGGGCTGCTGGGGGTACGCACCATGGTGGTGAGGATGTACTTGTAAAATGCTGAGATCATGCCTAGCTCTGAGGCCTGGAGAACACCGGCAGGAAAAGAGGCGACCAGAGAAGCAGAAATGGGGAGAAACCGAGAGGGAAAGAGATATTTAGAGACAAGCCTGGAGAGAAGGCACCCCGTGGGAAATACAGTAAGAAACACCCAGAGATAGAGAGAGGCAGGAAGAAGACACATGTGGGCAGGGGGAGACCTTGATCCCTCGAGTCCAACCCTGCTGACTGGTAGCCCAGGTGGGATGTAGGCGCCTTGAATGCCAGCGCCCCTCTTTAGGTCACTTAAAAGGCTGCCCTCTGGAGACAGGCACAGGGACACCTCAGAAACAGGGCAGGTGGGAGGACAACCTTAACCTTAATGCCCAGGCTGCCCACGCCAGGTTTGGGCTGCTCACTTGTAAGGCTCAGCCTGGTCCCAGGTCAGATAAACTACCCCTGCCACCTTTAAAAGCCCTTTGCAGCAAAGGCAGCCAATATGGCTCTAAGAGTCATGTTTTGAGCCCCTTTTCTCACAGCCCCTGAGGAGAACAAAGCTAGAAGACCAGGCCAGGAATGCCCAATCCTGCCCGCAATGGACATTAGAACTTTAACCAGCACCAGCTTGCATTGCCTGAGTGTCAAGAGCTGTGATCATGTGGGTTATAGCCCATTTCACGACAGGGATGGACAGGCTCGAGAGGAAAGTGACCACAGGTCCCTGAGCTCACACGGGGAGGGCCAGGTCTCCGGCCCAGGCCTGCTACCTGAGCATAATCTTTCCTACAAGCCACCCTGCCTCCAGAGCCTATGAGTGCTGTCCACACCTCTTCCTATAAGCTATGATCAGCAGTGACATATGGTTTTAATTTTTTAAAAACTGGAGAAAGCCCTAGCCAGTTTGGCTCAGTGGATAGAGCGTCGACCTGAGGACTGAAGGGTCCCAGGTTCGATTCCGGTCAAGGGCACATGCCCGGGTTGTGGGCTCGATTCCCAGTGGGGGGCGTGCAGGAGGCAGCTGATCAATGGTTCTCTCTCATCATTGATGTCTCTAACTCTTTCTCCCTCTTCCTTCCTCTCTGAAATCAATAAAAATATATTTTAAAAAATAAAAACTGGGGGAAAATAAATAATACAGGTTAGATTATGAGGAAAAATTAAGAGCAGGGAAGCAACGAATGATGAATGAATGTGGGTCACTGGTGGACAGCATGTGGCGGGCCAGCATCTGACACGGCCTCTCCTGGGTGGCCTTGAGGCAGACCGTTCCCCGCAGGAACCCCAGCTTCGTCATCCACAAATGATCATCACACGTGCCCACAGGGTGGGTGAGAGCCAAACTAAAGAATACGTGCAAAGTGCCTCAATATACAGCAGAACACGCACTTCGTAAGGATACTAGGAAGCTCCCCGTAGTCTGGGCCAGGCAGGGTCCCATGAACTTTCCCTACCACTCACTCATTATCCCTCACTACAACCCACTGAGGCAGCAGCTGTTCACAGGGAGGGGAGGCAACTGTCCAGAGTCCAACGAGGGCTGCAACTGGGGAACAGCCGAGCCGAGGGACAATCTTCCTGATTATCTCTGCACACAGGAAGCAGGTCTCCATACCCCATGTGACGACCGAGGCCTATGGGCACTAGGCTATGTGCTCTGTCCCCCATGTTTCTGTGTCTGACCCCGTAGGGAAGCAGAGACAGGGGACCCACCTTACGGAGGATGAGGTGGGAGATGGAGGCATTGGCGTCGATGATAATGGTGGACACCTTGTCATCACGGATCTCCTTGAGCAGCGGCGTGGGGTCCCGGCTGTCATCCAGCATCCTCACTGACAGCGTCTCCTTGGAGATGAGGAAGCCTCGAACCAGCTCCTCCAACCGCAACAGGCCTGGGGGTGGGTTCAGTCCTGGATTAGAGCCCCTCCATGTGCCTGACATGGGGCGAACACTCCCTCCTCCTCACCACCATGGGGGAACTGGGGAGGGGATGAGGGTGCACTCAGGAGATGGGCAGCTGTCTGTCCAGAGTGCAGCTGGCTGTCTTGAGGTACTGGACCCAGGGTCCCCCCAAATTAAAACCCCAACCTGCACTTCCTCCCGACCTCCAGAGGCCTTCCTCCTGCCACCTTCTGCCCCCACTGGTATGTGTGACAGGCATCTCCCACTTCACACATGCAAAGCCACATTCTGCTCTTCTTGCCCAAACCAGCATGTCTCCCAAGTCGGTGAACAACTCCAGCTTGCCAGTCTCTCAGGCCAAAAACCCTAGACAGCAGCCTGGCCTCCTCTCTCTCTCACACCCACACCCAATCTACCTAAGCTCTACCTTCAAAACACATTAGACCCATCGACTGCATACCCCACCATCACTGCCCTGACCCAAGCCAGTGTCATCTCTTGCCTGTTACACAGCCAAACTTGCCCCCAGAGTCTGT